TGCACGCTGTTTATAACTTATGCATTGTGTCAACGTTCAAGTACCAATCCTTCAGACTTGTAGGACATCTTTCATCACAAACGATAAACATGAAACGAAGTGTGTGACGTTGTGCAGAATACCTCAAGTTTGTCTTTGCTTCAGCTTCGAAGATATCGTACAGGGTTATACGTACCAAATCCACTTAGATGTTACGAATGCCTAAGATTTGGACATGGCGCTAGTCTCGTCATGGAAAGAATGCTCTTTGCTACCACTGAGATGGCACTCATGAGAGTTCTGAGTGTACAAATGAATCTCTCATATGTCAGCTGTCGCCGGGTGCATACAGCCTCTACCAAATCATGTCCTTTCATCTTTGAACGAGAATATGCCATGCTGAAAATTAAATATACTAACAATCTTTCATATCATGAAGCAAAAATGTTAGTTTCTGTTTTAATTTCTTACACAGCTGCAGTTTCCTCTCCTCCTATACGGGACGGTGGGGTAGCCTAATGGATAAAGCGTTGGCTTCTCACGCTGAAGACCCGGGTTCGAATCCCCACATGGGTACAATGTGTGAAGCCCATTTCTGGTGTCCCCCTCCGTGATGTTGCTGGAATATTGCTAAAAGCGGCGTAAAGCCAAACTCAGTCAGTCAGTCTCCTCCTATACTTGCTGTTCAACCTAACAGTTTCTATGCATTGCCAAACGTCAATCAGTTGGGTGAATGATGATCAGGTAATTCTAGAACAGGCTTTTTCTGTACCGGATACATCAGTATCCGAAGCGCAAACAAATGTCCAACTTACACAAGATTCAGAACAAGAAAATCAGTGCACTTGACGTAAAGAGAAAAGAAACAAATGAGCAGGGACAGGGCCCTCCGACACTTTAGTTTACTAAAATATCTGTATATTTGGAAGATCAACATCAACATTCGAGGAGATGTCTGGACTGACTGACTGAGTTTAGTTTTACGCCGCTTTTAGCAATATTCCAGCAATATCATGGCGGGGGACACCAGAACTGGGCTTCACACATTGTGCGCATGTTGGGAATCGGATCCGGGTCGTCGGCATGACGAGCCAACGCTTTAACAACTAGGCTACCCCACCGCCCCTGGGAAATGTCTGGAAATAGTGGACATTTCACTGTGCACTGTCCTTGTACGAAAAAAGATGAAATAAAACAAAATATAAGAAAAAGTGAGAAGGGCCAGTTCCCTCCGACACTTTGATGTGCCTTCATCTCCCTCCCTCCCTTCAAGAATGCCATTCGTTCATCACGTTCATTATCACCAGTTGAACCACCATGAACGATATGTAATTATTATCACAAGACTGGAAGCTATCAGCATTTTGCTTAGAGGAAACATACTTGAAGAAAACAGATCAACTGAGAATCAGACAATATGATTCTTATCATTTCTTTTTACATCTAGGGGCTAAGGGCTGAAATCTTCAATATCGGTGAAACAGGGCCTTATTCACAGTCTTGTCTCTCTTGAAGCTAATGTTCCCATACCAAGCCAGTTCGGGATCATACTAACCCTTCAAAGCATAGATCTATATCCTTAACAAACTGCGTTTGCAGAACCATGGAACAAATAGTCAATAATAGACTAACATGCTACTTGGAATCTAATAATTTAACAACTAATATTCAGTGTGTTTTTTCAAAGAAAAGATCGGAGTACCATTGACCATTTAGTTCGTATATAGTCATTTGTTAAAAAAGCAGTGTTTGACGTAGAAAAGGCATACGACACTCCATGGAAACGTGGCATTTTAAAAGATTCACATGATCTTTGATTACAAGTCCGTTTGCCTCAATTTATATCCAGCCATAACTGAATTTAATAATTTGAAAAATAATTATAATACATACAAATGCTTATTTACAGATGGATCCAACACTGGCGGCCATGTTGCTTGTGCTACTGGCATTGAATCCAGAACAATATCTTCTAGATTACTGGATAACACCTCTATTTTAACAGCAGTAGCAAACACAATACCAACAGCTCTTAAATATATTAATAGGCACCCAAAATTTAAACAATATATCATCTTTTCAGACTCTCGTTCGTTCCTCGGGGCTATAAACATGTATCTTGTAAACATCCACTCTTAAGTGAAATTATTGATTTATATAATGATCTCATATAATGAATTATATAATGACACATTGGCATTTCTGGCAACACAATGACCGATTATGCAGCTAATGCAACATTCAACAAGTCTGTGACACCACTTCTCATTCCATACTCTGATTACAAAGATATGATTAGATTTCTAGTGTCAGTTATGAGAGTACAGATGTTGCCGTTTCAACACAATGTGAGAAGGAAGGATAACAATATATGGATGAACAACTTCTTTATTGCTGTGAGAGCGACGTTTCGGTGAACCTACACTGAAACGTGGCTCCCACAGCAATGAAGAGGAACCTAAACTGAAACGTCGCTCTCACAGCAATGAAGAGGAACCTACACCAAAACGTAGCTCCCACAGCAATGAAGCGAAACCTACACAGAAACGTCGCTCCCACAGCAATGAAGAGGAACCTACACCGAAACGTCGCTCTCACAGCAATGAAGAGAAACCTACACTGAAACGTCGCTCTCACAGCAATGAAGAGGAACCTACACCGAAACGTAGCTCCCACAGCAATGAAGAGGAACCTACAGTGAAACGTCGCTCTCACAGCAATGAAGAGGAACCTACACCGAAACGTCGCTCTCACAGCAATGAAGAGGAACTTACACTGAAACGTCGCTTCCACAGCAATGAAGAGGAACCTACACCGAAACGTCACTCTCACAGCAATGAAGAGGAACTTACAGTGAAACGTCGCTTCCACAGCAATGAAGAGGAACCTACACCGAAACGTCGCTCTCACAGCAATGAAGAGGAACTTACACTGAAACGTCGCTTCCACAGCAATCAAGAGGAACCTAAACTGAAACGTCGCTCTCACAGCAATGAAGAGGAACTTACACTGAAACGTCGCTCTCACAGCAATGAAGAGGAACCTAAACTGAAACGTCGCTCTCACAGCAATGAAGAGGAACCTACACTGAAACGTCGCTCCCACAGCAATGAAGAGGAACCTACACCGAAACGTTGCTCTCACAGCAATGAAGAGGAACCTACACTGAAACGTCGCTCTCACAGCAATGAAGAGGAACCTACACTGAAAACGTCGCCTCACAGCAATGAAGAGGAACCTACACTGAAACGTCGCTCTCACAGCAATGAAGAGGAACCTACACTGAAACGTCGCTCCCACAGCAATGAAGAGGAACCTACACTGAAACGTCGCTCTCACAGCAATGAAGAGGAACCTACACCGAAACGTCGCTCCCACAGCAATGAAGAGGAACCTACACCGAAACGTCGCTCTCACAGCAATGAAGAGGAACCTACACCGAAACGTCGCTCTCACAGCAATGAAGAGGAACCTACACCGAAACGTCGCTCTCACAGCCATGAAGAGAAACCTACACTGAAACGTCGCTCCCACAGCAATGAAGAGGAACCTACACTGAAACGTCGCTCTCACAGCAATGAAGAGGAACCTACACTGAAACGTGTTATCCTTCCTTACTGCTCCAACTTCTAAATGCCTCTCGATGAAGAAGAATGTGAGAAAACTTATGTTATATTGACTCTGTATTGAGAGTAATTAAATACCTAATTTACCTAATAAAATATACCCTCATATCATCCTGTGTGTACTGACAGAGCTGGTAGGAAGACATGGGTGGATTATGTTAAACATATTTTATGTAATTATGAATTTGTTTGTGTAACAACACACCAACCAACCTACACTACCCCTATGTATAGCAAATGGGTCTGTGTCTTGTTAACAGGTATGGTACTTCTTATTGAAATTGTTTAGATTAAAATAAGACAAAATGAATGGCCTACTATTTTAATATTCTCAAGAGCATCTTTAAAATAAGTCATTTGAGCCGCAAATTAAGTCTCTGAGTTCCGCTTATAAGTTGTTTTGTATACTGTATCAGTGCCATTTTGAGTCGGTTTAGATATATATATATTTGGTCTTCAGTAACCCATGCTTGTCGTAAAAGGCGACTAACGGGATCGGTTGGTCAGGCTCGATGACTTGGTTGACACCATGTTATCGTTACCCAGTTGCGTAGATCGATGCTCATGCTGTTGATCAATGGATTGTCTGGTCCTGACTCGATGATTTACAAACCGCCGCCATATGAATAAGTGGGAATGTCCCTGAGTGTGCCGTTTAACAACAACCCAAATCTAAAGCACACACCTTGCCTTTTAGTCGTTACCTTGTTTCCTGACTTGAGTACAATTGCCACAAGGTATTGAACCCGTGTTACATGGAACGTCGAAGCTGAGCAGTATCTTCACCTCTACTTTCACAGTTTAACCTAATGCTAGACGGCAAGGATTTCTGGAAGGTAATAGATGTTTTATATGTATCGAGCATGTTCTATTGTTTTGTTTTAATAATAAACCTCTGCCTTGTCACATGTAACGTCGAAGCCTTTATTTTTGTTTCATAGGCCTTTTGGCTGGATATCTGTATGGTATAATATCAAACTATATCTTTCCATTACCTGTATACACAGTACCCGTGACATCTAATGAAGTTAATCGTGTTCATTTTCTTCGTTATTCTATAAAATAAATAAGACTGATTTTGTTGGAATCGGGTACTGGTAAGCTGAGAATGGATTGTGTTTGTACAACGCCGCACCCAGCAATATCATAACTGTATGGTCGAGTCTTGGCCAGACAATCCAGTCATCAACAGCATGAACATCCATCTAAGTGATGAGGATACGATGACATGCTGTCAATCAAGTCAGCAAACCTGACCAGCTAGTCCTGTCATTGACATCTTACGACAAGCATGTGTTGTTGAAGGCTAATTCTAAGACAGACCTTCACTGGTGACCTAGGAGTGGATTAATATCACACTGGAGGATGCGGAATAACAACTCAAATACACACGTGTCCATGCTGAAAACAAAATATTTATTTCGGCTTTGACATGCATCACATACTACAGCGAGGGGCGTATACAAGGATCATAATATACGATATATGATTATACGACCGTATCCACAGTCTCGAATGTTCAGCGTTTCTTCGAGTAATTATACCACAGAAAGTCTGCTGGTTTAGGATGTATTTTTATTTATTGTTTACATTTTAGAATTTGATGCAGTATCGATGTTTGTCTTAGATACGAAACTTTCACACTGAAAGGAGGCGTATGTGCTGTTTGATCTGACCCATATATTATCACGCACTAGTTTTACAACCTGTGACAATCAGTAATGTTACTGTCCTTGATGGGAACATTGTTTTATAAATGGTGTTTTTTTTATTACCTTAAACTCACTCACTCACTCGAGACAGCCATGTTACCACTGTGTCACGCTTCCTGGTCACTGTTTAGTTGCACAAGAGTGAGTGACTGAGTTTGCCTTTACGTCGCTTTTAGCAACATTGCAGCAACATCACGGCGAGGGACACTAAGAATTGGCTTCACACTGTACCCATATTGGGAATCGAACCAGGGTCTTCGGCGTGACAAGCGGGCGCTTTAACCGCTAGGCCACCCCACCAACCCTCTCTGCACAAGCACTAATGCATTTGTGGTAACCGATTAGGGATAATATACGAGATCGGAATAATACCTGTTGATCTGCGTTGCACCTCGACCATTATAACAAGACCAAACAACCCAGGTCCTGCGTCACTTCCAGTAGGGTCTGTATGGTGGCCTAGTGGTTAAAGCGTTCGCTCGTCACGCCGAAGATGTTCGATTCAATACATGGGTACAATGTGTGATGCCTATTTCTGGTGTCCCTAGCCGTGATATTGCTGGAATATTGCTAAAAGCATCGTAAAACTAATATCACTCTTTGTGAAGTGATCAACGTAAGGATATAGATATTTCTTTCAACCTAAGATTTACAGCGATTCATACGTTTAAAGGATTCCCTGTACGCAATCAGGAAGAAAGTATTACAGCAGATATTGTGAGCTGACACGCTTTTTTTGGTCTTCCTTGAATTCTCATTTCATGAGGTAACGCTGAGCATTCACTTCTGTGGTGGCACCCGGGGATAGGGTGGGTGGGGTTTGGGTGTGTGTTCGGGTTACAGTCGGACAAGTCCTCTCTACGGCAGAGGAATCTCTTGAAAAGAGAGAGTCTCATGTTTTTCCGTGGCCTGAAAAGAACAAACAGTAGCATTATAGACCCATCAGGGCTGGAATGGTTGGTTGGTTGTTGTTTAACCCTTATTCAGCAGTATTTCAGCTATATGTCGGCGGTTTGAAAATAATCTAGTCTGGACCAGACAAACCAGTGACAGCAGTGGCATCGATCTGGGCAATTTGCAGACGATGGCATGTGTCAACCAAGTCAGCGGGCCTGACCACCCGATCACGTTAGTCGCCTCTTACGACAAGCAAGGGTTGCTGAAAACCAATTCTAACCCGGATCACCAAGGGTCATCTGAGCAGGATTGGGTTAGTGAGTTGAAAGTTGAATACATTGCTGCTGTTAGTTTGTTTTCCAAGAACATTTCTGTAGTGAGTGAGTTAAAGATTAACGTCATATCTGCTTTATTTCAGTCGTAAAGCGACCGGGTGGGATGTAATGATTTGACATTATATACAGCTGAAATAGTGCTGACATGACAAACACACTGTAAAAGTATAACCAGCTCTCCCTTACTAAACCATCAAATATGCTGAGCAGAAAAATATTGGCAAATATAGAACTTACAAATTGGAATATAAGCATTTGGTTTGCACTAAGATACAGCTTTTAAAATAACATCACCTACCTCTGAAGACTTCGGGCAGTAATCGGGGACATCAAAGACAGAGTCCTCGAAGTCTACACCGAAGGTTGAAAACCCAACTGTCTCAAGGAAGTAGTCTGAATAATGATACACAGTATGTTAGTTTTAAACAAACATGCTCTGGTCGCATAACTATTCTTTCATAATGCGTTATTGCAAGGTGGCATGGGTTTAAACACAACCGAGTGACTGATTTAGTTTTATGCTGCACTCAGCAAAATCCCAGCTATAGAACTGCAATCTGTAAATAATCGATTATTGACCAGACAATCCAGTGATCAACAGCTGGAACATCGATCTACGCTATTGGGATACGATGACATGTGTCAACCAAGTCAGATCTTAACGGTTGTTACGTTGTTCTTTTGATTCCTCTGCATGACAGTGTCGTGCAGCCTTACAGACATGCTTCATATTTCTCAAGTGTTGACACGGTAGCATTCCTCTACTTCAAGTACGTGTGGCTCATCTCGTTCAATCCAAAATAGTGCATTTGTCATGAATCTTACTGAATAGACATTCTCAGTATATACGGAGCGATTCTTTATTTGGAAGGGCGGTGGGTTAGGCTAATGAGTGAGTGAGTGAGTGAGTTTGGTTTTACGCCGCTTTTAGCAATATTCCAGCAATATCACGGCGGGGGACACCACAAATCGGCTTCACACATTGCACCCATGTGGGGAATCGGCGTGACGCGGCAACGGTTTAACCAATAGGCTAGGTAGGCTCATGGTTCAAACGTCAAGTCGTTATGCTGAAGACCACGGTTTGATTCCCATATGGGCTCAATGACTACAATTTCTGGTGTGTCCCCACCGTGACATAGCAGGACAATCGATAAAAGTGGTGTAAAACCATATTCCCTCACACATTGTCTGGAGAAAGTAATTATAAATAATTCTGGAATTATCGTAGAACCTGACAAAGAAATAAATCAACTAAGAATTCACGAAATACAAGTACTAGTCAGGCAAGTGTAGGAACGTACCCACTTTCGACTGCTGCTACTCACTTTTATCTTTACCAACTCTGTATGTTTGTATAGGAATGCACTCTTTCGAGACTTGAATGACCGTTACAACATGGCCTTCATCTTCACTGTAAGCTGTTGATGACAGGGTGTTACTTCCGAGTCCAAGAACAAAATCATACTCTTTTTTGAAATTATCTGAAAAAAAATGACTCAATAACTCTCATGTTCCTTGATATGGCAGAAATGTATTTGTTAGTTTGTTTTTTCAACTCAGCAAATATTCCAGCTATGGTTTGTAAATAATCAGCGTTGGGCCAGACACTCCTGTGATTGAGCATAGATCTATACAATTGGGATATGATGATCTGTTTCGTTGCTTCGATCTTGAGAGGGTACGTAAGTCCCGAAACATTCAAAGTAAATTAAACTTTCCAGATTTTCTTCAAGCATAGAATTTTTGTTGTTTTAATTTATGGCTAAATTCGACTACAGTTGCCAGCGGTTGAAGGAAGGGTGTAAATCCAACTAGGGTCCATGCAGGTAGCAAAAGTTCTGTAAGTCCCCGTGGTCCCTAGCATGGTGATCTTCTTTTAGTTGTTGGCGATCAAAAGGCCATGTTTACATTGTATTGTTAAGAAATAGTTGTCTGCTTGTGAAGATATATGATAGCTAGTTTTAACTCATTTTGTGATAAACTAGTAATTTTACTGTCCTTCGTTGACAGGGTTTTATATATTATATGTATGCATTATGAATTTAGGACTAGTTTTAGTCACGATATCGGTGACATATTGCCGATGTGACTTTAAGCCTTTACTCACTCACTCACTCAATCACTCGTTGCTTCCAGGATTTTCCACAAAACGTTGGTAAGTTGTGCAAGTTTATGTGGCGAATGCTCACGCCTACCGAGCTCATCCAGCCGATGCTGTTATGGGATCTAAACCAGAGATCTGGGTTGGTTGATTGTTGTTTAACCCCACAATCAGCAATATCCCAGTCATACGATGGTGGTCTGGAAATAGTCGAGTCTTGACCAGACAACAGCTTGAGCATCGATCTACGCAACTGGCATACCATGACATGTGTCAACCAAGTCAGCGAGTCTGAACAGCCGATTCCGTTAGTCGCCTCTTACGACAAACATGGGTTGCTGAAGACCAGTTCCAACCCGGAATCGATCAACAGTTTTGATCAATGTTCACTGGATTGTCTGGTCCAGATTCGATTGTTTACACACCGCCGCCATATAGCAGGAATATTGCTGAGTGCGGCGTAAAACAATCACCAACCAGCATTAACAAGACAATGGAGGCTACTAACCTGTGACACAGAAGTTGTCAAATGGTTGGTGTTCCGTTTCGATCGTGCATATTTTCCTCTTGAGGTCGATCTCATAACGCAGATGCTGAAACACGAGATCTTCAGGTATTACATTAGCTGGAGGTTTCAGATGGAATATTCCCGTGCTTCAAATATTCAATAACACCCGGGAACTGGCCAATGCATGATGTTTATCGACATTGTAAACACAAAGGTAAACCAAAAGGTCTACACACGTTTTTCTGTCTGCACTCATTGACATCGAGTACGGGTACAGCATTGAAGTGTCATCAGCTGGCTGTTTCAGTTGGTTCTCATGGTAACATCTGGAACTGCTCATTTGGAACGTCATTCCGACTTTATGTCACAATATGATTTGAATGACGTCACCACTGCTGACGACGCAACAATACAATTGTGTGCGATATTTTTACGTATTCATACCCAGCTAACATTCTTGTGATTTCAGAGAATCGAATACCATTCGATTTTGTTTTTCAACAAATAAGATCACAGAACACAGTGACTTTTGGTTTATAATAAGTCATAAAATTGTGATAAACAATAAAGCGAAAAGTGACATTAAAATTGTGTTCCAGCTGGGACAGTTTCGGCTTATAAAGTTCCAACCAAGTCAGCGAGCCAGACCACCCGATCCCGTTAGTCGCCTCGTACGACAATCAGGGGTTGCTTAAGACTAATTCTAACCAAGTCGACGGTAAAACTACCATACCATGATGTGTCAACCAAGTCAGCCTGCCAGACCGCCTGATTCCGTGAGTCGCCTCTTACGACAAGCATCGGTTGCTATAAAGCAATGATTAATCGGATCTTAAAAAGAGCGAAACACAATGAAAGGCAAGGTGAACGTTACCGCCTTGTGGTCGGATATGGTTTTAGATTCCTCTTGGAAGTCGTCAAGGCTGTAGTTGCCCGTAGTAACCGACCTTTCACTGACGGCATCAAAGTATTCTTCAGAATACCCCTGAAACAGTAAATAACAGGTATTTACACATACAAGTACTCGTAATTTAGCAGATCCTCCAGAACCCACACATGTCATAAAAGAGAAATTGATAGAGTAGTTGGTCAGTGGTTGGTACCGTCTAATCTTTACCCACATGTATGGATGACGGTCTTGTCAAACATTGCTACCCACATGTATGGATGACGGTCTTGTCAAACATCGCTACCCACATGTATGGATGACGGTCTTGTCAAACATTGCTACCCACATGTATGGATGACGGTCTTGTCAAACATCGCTACCCACATGTATGGATGACGGTCTTGCCAAACATCGCTACCCACATGTATGGATGGTGGTCTTGTCAAACATCGCTACCCACATGTATGGATGCAGGTCTTGTCAAACATCGCTACCCACATGTATGGATGACAGTCTTGCCAAACATCGTTACCCACACGTATGGATGATGTTCTCGTCAAACATCGTTACCCACACGTATGGGTGATGATGGTCTTGTCAAACACGGTGTGGCCAATAAACTGGGTATTGACACTTTGTTTGTGTAAATGTCCACTCAGCAATATTCAAGCTGTGTGGTGGCAGTGGAAGCGTGAATACGGACCAGGCTATCCACTGATTGCAATGAACATCGGTACTGTCAGTGTATGTGCAATTGATGGGAGAAAGAGAATTCTTACGTCATTGGAGAAGGGAACATTCACCCCATCCATTGTTCTCATGAGAAGGCCAGCGGTGAATCTGTGGGCGAACCACTTATCAGGAGCACAGCAGACTATTGCCCCACCCACACACGTGGACAACACGGAGAGCAGGACTATGTACCCCAACATGGTTCCAGGTGATCGTGAAATGTGTGGTGTGAGGCGAGGTTCTCTACCTTATAAGCAATACCACGGGGCTCAAGAGTTGCTTATTATGCTAGATTGCTGTTATATTCAGACTAATAAAACATTCTTTATATCTATTGCAACGTATTTCTAAGCCTTGTGTTTTCTTTTTGCAAAATACATTTTATTTTCGTTTTAATAAACGTTATTCAACAAAATCCCTGAATTTTTTCTCAAATATTCCCCTGGGTTTATCAGGTTAAAAGGAAACTGTTACGTTGTCCCGTTTTGATTAAAAATTTAATGTAACGGTTATAATTGATTCACCTTTTACAGTAAAAACCATTTATGACAAAGTGTATTTTTACGGTTGGATTGTGAATAACTGACATCTTACAGTTTGCCAAGTACATTTAATATAACCTCTGTACATCTGTGATCAATAGTAATATGCACCGATTTTAATAAATATATATCGCTGAATGCTTCCAATAATTTTCAGATTAATTATATATATTTTTTTTAAAGAACCATACACGTAACATGAACCCCTTGTACGTAAAGGCTTGCTTGTGGTAACCATGTGATCCGGAAAACAGAAGAGTTTAGGGCAGATTGACCGATATCTTAGTGGAAACTAAAAGCGACTGAAAGAGATCTTAGACGTTTTCAACTTTAATTAAATCTGTCAATGTTGTTCTTAAGCATCTGAATAACAACAACGCAGGAGAGCCAGCATACTTCTTGTTCCCGGGAACCCATGTCACGTCTGTCGTCAGGTTCGATGACTTGGTTCGCACGTCATCGTATCCCAGTTACATAGATCGATGCTCATAATGTTGATCACTGGATTATCTGGTCCAGACACGATTACTTACAGACTGCCGGCTTGCAGCTGGATTATTGCTCATTGGGACGTTAAACAGCAAAGAAAACATCCTTGCACCTCCATCCGTCTTATTGAGAGTATTTTCGTCTCAGACAAACAAACAAATTATTAAAAAATGATGCAATGTATGCATAAATCACTTCTTATTAGTGTAACAGAAGTACCCTCTGCCGGGAACACCGGAAGCTCTTTTGTTCAACCCCCTTGATAAGACATACAAAAAGACGCTAACGGGTGATACTTGCTATTGCCTTGCATTGTGCTCGGCAAGATTGTTGTGAACATTGTCTGTAAGGTACATGAGATACTTTGTGAACGGTATGTCGTTGTTAGTGAATCGATATCTGAGAGACTCTGTGCTATGCATGTGACTGTTGATAGATTGTTGTTAACCATTGTCTGTAAGGTATCTGAGATAATGTGTAAATGGTATGTCATATATCACTTTGCTATGGATCAAACCATGGATTCAACAGCAAACTATGATGTGGGTCTAATTTGGTTTAAATATCTAAGCTTATTGTAAGTATGGATCCTAGGTTTCAGTATGTCATTTCATCTTGTGGATCCCATACCTGATATTGCCAGATGCTGTGTACATGTAAATGACTCGTTCCATGATTTGCAAAATGGTTGATTGGTGCCATGAAAACCATTTCTATGATTTATCATGTATCAAGTGCATACGGTTAGATTAAAGTGGTTGTTCGCCTAAACAAGGGTTACTATATTATTATTTATCTAGTTTTGAATGGATACAATTTCAAATAATAAATCTATGTTTAAACAAAATTGGGAAATTTGTGATTCTTAGCAAAGTGTGAGTAGCATATACTCTATATAATTTATAAGAATGTTACGTGATGGTGAAATATGAGGCTTAAGATTTGTCCTGCTCTTCTCCCTCCGCAGTAGGACCATAAAAATATACTGAGTCAAAAAAGAAACTCCACAATCTTTCTTCAGGGCACTATAAAAGAACAAGAGATGGTGAGATGGTTAAATTGTTATTATTTCATTGCTGAGATATGTGTGAGGTACTCGATACACTGACAATGCCATAATCAGTTCCATTAGGCTACACCGCCGTTCCAAAACATGGGTATACAGAATGTCAAATCACAAGAATAAAAATGCGACATTTCTCAGTTCAATATCGTGTATGGTCGCCCCGCGCATTCACCACTGCCAAACATCGTCTCCTCATCGACTGCCTGGTGCTTGTGAACACGTGGTTGGGGATTATGCGCCATTGCTCTTGCAAGGCAGCGCCAAGTTCCTGCAAATTCTGAGGTTGGTTCCGAAGACCACGAAGCCTCTCCCAAGTGCATCCTAAACGTGCTCTATTGGATTAAGGTCAGAGGGCCTCGATGGCCAGTCTATGACGTTGATTCAAGCGTTTTTGAAGGAGATTTTGTTAACATCGCGGTATGCGGCTGAGCATTTTCATGCTGGAACTGGAGACCTGGGCCATGAGACGCATGAAAGGAACGAGTTCAGGAGTGAGCACCTGGTCGCAGTAAGCAGCAGCTATGAGGTTTCAACGGATGACGAGAAGTCGAGAACGGTTGTTCCCACAGAAAGCACCCCACACCATGCAACTTCCGCCCCCGAATCTGTCGACTTCCTGTACACAACATTGGGCATACCATTCACGACGTCGTCGTCCGCGAATCTGAGGGTAAACCTTGATTCATCGCTAAAGACGACTCGAATTCCGTCTCTCTGGGTCCATCGGAGGTGACGTTGGGCCCATAGCACGATGACGTTGATGAGACGGCGTCAATATTGGCCCACGACATGGACGTCGAGAATGGAGATTGGCAGCCCGATTTCGAATGGTCTGTGAGGACAGTCGACCTCTAAACATCTCAGCCCTGGTTCATGTAGCCGGCAGAAATCTGTCACGTAGGTGACGTAGGACGATTTGACGGTCTTCTGCTCGTGACGTCGCGTGACGTGGACGACCCGACCTTGGGCGTTCAGAAGTGGTGCCAGTTTGTTGTAGACGACCTCGCAAGTCATACACAGAACGACGGCTGCATCCCATTGCTCTTGCGACGTCAATAACTGATCTTCCTGCTTGCAACATGCCAACGGCATGTTCACGTTGCACATTTGACAATCGTGGCATTTCAAGTACCGTTAGAACTGTAGTTTAGAAGTATTTTTTCAATTCTTGAGGCCAATGCAAACACGTGCATATGAAGAAAACTTCGATGCGAAGATCACGTGATCGACTGCATGTGCAAAACCTGATTTGGCACTAACGTCTTTTACACGACGAATGGGTGGGTTTGAGTGGGTTTTGCTAACGTTTTTCTAGAGTCGAAAGATAGGGATCCCATTTCGGATACATAGGTGGATCATCAGAGTAAACTCATTCATTATTTTGCAAATTACATTTTGTGAGGTTTCTTTTTTGACTCAGTATATAAACAAGGGTCCCTGTCCACAAGGCATTCGTAACGTTACGGCCTGTCGTAACTCTATACTTTGTCATAGGCTTACGAGTGTCGTAGGGCTACGGACGTTTTGTGGCTTGGGAGCCAGGAATTTTGAAGGGTTCGTATTTACACAAAAAATGAATTCAGTTTGCCTGGGTTTTCGAAATCTTGAACCTGTTCAAGTGGAGCTTTGGCCCAATGTGTGAAGCCCATTTCTGGTGTCCCCCGCCGTGATGTTGCTGGAATATTGCTAAAAGCGGCGTAAAACCAAACCCAGTCAGTCAGTGGAGCTTTTAATTTTTCTTGTCCATTTATCCTAGGAGGACTCCATGACTTTTAATGAAATGGGTGGTTTTTTTCTGAGACCACACTGGATGTCAATGAGAACGTTATTGACCCCCCAGGTACAAGCCGATTGTTGTCACCATGCGGCTCAAAATGGTTGGACATATTTGATACGTGTCAGGTCACAGCAGCAGCAGCAGTAGTAGTAGTAGTAGTAGTAGTAGTAGTAGTAGTAGTAGTAGTAGTAGTAGTAGTAGTAGTAGTAGTAGTAGTAGTAGTAGCAGCAGCAGCAGCAGCAGCAGCAGTAGTAGTAGTAGAAGTAGAAGTAGTAGTAATAGTTTTCACACTTCACGTCCTTCCTGCAACCAGCACTTACTTATCAGCACGGAATGACGTGGATCCGTACCATATATTTGGTTGGTGTACCACCGGAATGGATTGGGGACATACGCCTCCATTTAAAGGATGCAATAGCCAGCATTGGCAGATTGAGGGATAGTCGTTCGGGCAAATTTGAAGAGATAGGTGTTAGCGGATTGAACCACCATGTCCCTCTTGACAGCTGCGACTAATTGCTGTTCAAGTTCTCCTATTGTCTTGCAATGACTCTGTTACTGAGAGTAACCTTCTACCCTTCCTTCTAGACGGAGTGGTAAAAGAGTTCGTTCGTCACGCCGAAGACCCGGGTTCAATTCCCCACTTTGATACAATGTGTTAAGCCCATTTCTGGTGTCTCGCTGTGATATTGCTGGAATATTGCTAAAAGCGGAGGAAACTAAACACACGTTTGCGGGGTCAAATAAGAACAAAAAGCGTCCTAAATATCAGGAATGGTTCTAGTTTATACAGCTTTGACGAGCTTCATGTACTACACCAAGGAACAAACGGACAGATGATCAACTATACTCTTTAAAAAAGTAGGGGAACATCATTTTTAATTTACGATTGAAACAATTCGGAAATATATTGAAGTCAATCAATGTTGATATGAAAATAATGAATGTCTTGAGAGTACACCAACACTTGCTCTTCCTCATGCAAGATGACAAGATGACTGTCACAATGAATGGCCTACAGTGATTTATCGACCTTCTAGATGACAAGATGACTGTCACAATGAATGGCCTACATTGATTAATCGACCTTCTAGATGACAAGATGACTGTCACAATGAATGGTCTACGGTGATTTATCGACCTTCTAGATGACAAGATGATTGTCACAATGAATGGTCTACAGTGATTTATCGACCTTCTAGATGACAAGATGACTGTCACAATGAATGGTCTACAGTGATTTATCGACCTTCTAGATGACAAGATGACTGTCACAATGAATGGTCTACAGTGATTTATCGACCTTCTAGAGTACCTCAAAATATCAAATCACACCCTATGTACGTGTATTTGGCTACTGCGTTCTGCACGTGCACTAGTAGGGTGGATAACAGACCAAAATAGGCCGAATCGTACACTTTGTGACACAAGCACCAATATTGGCATGATCGTTCACCATGGGCTTCCTGTTCAGAAAATAGCGTTGGCCAATCACAAATCCAAGATGGACGCCATAATCTTTTAACTATCATTTCTGGCCGATGTTTTTCATCCAGCTGTCTAATTCCACTTTAGTTTAGCTTGCAGAACCACGTTTTGATGAAAACAAAGACAAATAATAAATTATAGGGATGGTTTATCTGAATATCGTGAGATCAATTTACGATTTTGTCATTTTTTTCTTACCTCGTGTCCATATTAAATGTTCGTGGTCCCTAAAGTTTTACACCCCATGCATTGCGTTTAGGGGTGGTGATGTAGACAAATGGTGGTGCGTTCACAAGACGTCTTTCAAAAGTTTCTTAAGACTTATACTTCCTATCTAAATTTAAAGTTCAGATTCCCCTACATTTTTAAGAGTATATATGGGGAATTACCAGCAGAGTACACATTTATCCATATCGGTTATGTGGCTCACAAACGTGACTGGCTCAACTTCTCAATGGAGGCCTTGTAACGGATGACTTCAAAGAAGTTCATTGCCTTCTGTTTCTGAAATAGAATAAGTGTGAGGCAAAACCACATAATTCTTTTTTAAAAACACATAATTCAAATACTACCTCTCTGGAAAGCCAATATTGTTTGCTGATATTATCGTAAAAGCAGATTTGTAGCAAAGTTTGAACTCTGTCTTTTAATTTGTTTGTTCTTAACAAAAACAAGTAGTTCACAAGATAGAGTTTCCATGTTTAAAGCTTTCAACTTCTCTGTAAAGTCATTGGATCAGTGGGGCGGTGGTGTAGCCAAGTGGTTATAGCGTTCGCTCGTCACGTCGAAGACCCGGGTTCGATTCCATGCAAATTTACAATGCGTGAAGCCCATTTCTGGTGTCCACCGCCGTGATATTGCTGGAAAATTGCTTCAAGCGGCGTTAATCTAAACTCACTCGCTCACTCACCCACTCACTCATAGGATCAGCCCCCATCAGAATGTCGAAGATTCGTCGCCGTTATTTCGAGTTGTTGCCCGAACGTTAAAACTGGGTACTTGATACGGACAAGCCTTATGATGGGTAGCATATTGGGATATTTCGTGGGTGAGCTGTTAATTATCAATCAGTAATGTAATACGAGGTAGAAGTGATGTAGATATACCGACTGTAATAAAGAAAACATATTTTTTTATGGATAGACAACTTCTCATAGCAAATACACGCAACGTTTTCGTGTAGAAGCTAACACCGTTATCAAGCATCCTATGATCGAGGGAAAAACAAAACAAAAAGCGCATGTGAGCATCCTAGCTGGAAATCGGCGCTATATACATATATAGATTATAATAAACTTTATTAGACAAACTTTCGATGATACGCGTCAGAATTGACTTGGTAGACACAAGTCACTGTATCCAATTTGATTTGACCGTTTTAGTCATTACTGAGTTGAGTTGAGTTGAGTTGGGCTTTACGTCAGATCGGCATAATTCCAGCCATATAGTGACGGGAACAAGTCTGCATTAATATACATTGTAAGTACAAAGTGGTTTCATTTCAAAGACACACATTCATTACATTGTCATTTTGGAAAAGAGAATGTCATAGCACTAAATTGAAAAGCAAGTAAATTCGTTAGTGTCATTACACAGTTACAATTTATGATATAGATCAACTTCCCTCATGTAGTTCAGTATCAGATGAGCGCTCACGCTGGAGAACAGATCTTTCAGATTGGTTGCGTGATAATGCGAGTCCCTTGCAGATGTAAAGTCCACACAGTCAAGCAGAATATGTTTGACGGTGAAAGCCTCATCGCAGGAGAGACATATGGGGGGTCCATCCCCATCCGTTTTTAGCAGATAGTCATGTGTAAATCGACTCTGGCCAATACGACATCATCGTAAAACGTTACTATGTATCGGACATTGTGCTACTTTTTTGTTCGTGTTCAAGTTTGCGAATGATCTGCTGATAATGACATCGCCTACTGAAATATTGCTAAAGGCGGTGTAAAGCCACTATCTCACTCACTCACTTACTCACTCACCCACCAACCCACTCACTCACGTCATCAAATACCCACCCCCTCGTCAAGACCAGTCCTGTCACGTTGCAGAGGAATACATGCCTCGTTGACGAGGTACCATATGCCTCTTTGGTACTTGTCATCCTTGAGTGTATCTTCATCATAATAAGCAGTGGCTTCAAGGGAGTTATCACCAAACCCCAGTTTCACCTGGAAACCGGGAGTAGCACTGTCTGAAATACAAATTATAGCATGGGGATGGACAAGAAAAATACGTGACACCAACGCTAGATAAGAAAGATCTACTTGATACAATTTAAACAATTTTAGAAAATATATTTAACACTCTATACGATAAAGGAAAGTTAACTCTATCTGGGCCCAGGGCTATACTTAATTATCTCTTCATATGAAAGGAGGCTAAAACGGTATGGATAATAAGTGGTTTTTTTAAATGTTGACACAAATATTCTCAATAATAGATTGGTATTCTGGGCAAACTGTTTTCATAAGGTAGAAGTAGAATAGGCTGGGTTTAGAGTAGGTTATTCAATAATTGAGAATATATTTATATTTTGGAGTGTACTACATATCAAAGAAGGGTGGAACATTTTAGGGATATGATTCATTACATAACCTTGTGGTGTTCGTACAAAGGTGGTGTTCGTACAAAGGTGGATCTTGTGTTCAAGTCGGAAAGTGTGAAACCGTGTTTACGAACATCCAGTAATTTTAATACAGAGGATGGTGGTTGGCAATACCGTAATGAATTGGGCTTCACCTAGCAATTCTACAATTCGTAAAGATCACCATGCACAAATCCAATAATAGCTGTAAACATGAGCGTCTTCTTTAGTAAACTGAAGTAGAAAAAAAGTGCACCACATGTGCGTACTTATACTTATACGTACTGATAAACTTAGTCTCCAGTAACCCATGCTTGTCGTAAGAGGCGACTAACGGGATCGGTGGCCAGGCTCGCTGACGTGGTTGACGTCATCGTAACCCATTTAGATCGATGCTCATGTTGTTGATCACTGGATTGTCTGGTGCTGACTCGATTATTTAGCGACCACCGCCATATATATTAGTTGGAATTTGCCGTTAAACAACAAACTAGATCTAAACCTAGTTGCGTAGATCGATGCTCATGCTGTTGATCGCTGGATTGTGTGGTCCAGACTCGATTATTTTTTATTTACTATTTATATGGTTAGTATATTGGTGAGTGTTGCGTTAAACAAACAAAAAAGCCAACTAATAGAGTTCGGCACGAACATACCGGGAATACAAAATGTGTGAACTGGGTCGTGGTTATGTTCTACAGGACATCTGTTTCTGTCTCTGTCGATGGTGTACTTTACCATCTGAATGAAAAATGCATTAACGCATGAGTGCATACATACTTCATGCTCCGGTGAAGGTCCACATTAAACCTGAACCCATGCCACGTTTGTCGTCAGACTTGCTGACTTATTTGACACGTCGTTGTATCCCAATTACATAGATCGATACTCATGATATTGATCACTGGATTATCTGATCCAGTCTCGATTATTTACAGACAGCCGCCATATAGCTGGAATATTGCTGAGTGCGGCGTTAAACAACAAGCCAACAAATCTTTAAACGCATTACGACTTCATCATCCTACACGTTGTGGGAAACTGATATGACAGTTCGTTATATCCGTCAGTTCGATACAATAGTCTTCGTTATCAACGTAGTTCGCTGAAATAATGCTTTAAAGAAAAGAAATTTCTGAAGATATCTGGGAATTGAGGGGTAGGGAGAACGAAGATCAGAATTGAATGTTCAACCAAGACCTGTTAAGGGCCGGGCTAGAATTCACCTTCAGTAACACATGCTTGTCGTTAGAGGCAACTAACGGGATCGGATGGTCTCGCTGACCAGACTCGCTGACTTGGTTGACACATGTCATCGTATCCCAATTGCGTATATCGCTGCTCATGATATTGATCACTGGATTGTTTGGTCTAGACTCGATTACTTACAGACCGCCGCCATGGTACAATGTGTGAAGCCCACTTATGGTGTCCCCCGCCGTGAAATCGCTGGAATATTGCTGAAAGCGGCGTAAAACTAAACTCACACTCACGTGAGCACATAAGTATTGACCAAGAGTTTGAAGAATGACCCATCTCTTATTTATCTATTTATCTCGCCATATCTGGAGTCATGTGCCCGTAAAAATCCGGATTAGAACCAGTCTTCAGCAACCCATGCCTGTCGTAAGACGCGACTAACGGGATCGGGTGGTCAGGGTCACTGACATGGTTGACACATGCCATCTTATCTCAGTTGCACAGATCAATTTTCATTGAGCTGATTTATGGATTGTCTGATGCTCATGATATTTGTCACTGGAGTGTCTGGTCCAGACGCGATAATTTACAGACCGTGTTGTTTTGTTTCATAAGAAAGTCTCCGTTCAACTCCATATTGTCTGTTTTTCCAATTTTGTTTTATGTTTCAGACTGATTCTGAACAGTTTCGTTACAACATGTTAAATTCACAAAGTGAAAAGGATCGGGAAACAAATTCTTACAACTCTTAAAACCCACCAAGAGCAAGTATTATAAACAGACACAGAGGAAGATTGATACATGCAATCGTTGCTGAGTGCGGCGTTGAACAACAAACACACAAATGCATGAGTGTCTAATATTACTTACAGTTTTGTGATCTGAGATTATTTTCAGATGTAGAATATTCCTATAATAGCGCCTTTCCACTACTGAAGCAAATCTGCTATTGTCAAGGTCTTGAAAGAATTCTTCGAGTTCCTGAAAAAGTGAAATAGAAACTTTGCCTTTTGTGTGCGCCTTTTGTCGTTGTTGATTAGATTGTGTGCGTGTGCATGTGCGTGCGTGTGTGGCAATAGTGTGCATGTACACGTAGGTACGTATTCGCTATTTTTCTTAAACCTATCGTTTAAATAATTTCATAATCATTCACGGTAATGCAAGTTGCTTAGAGGGATGTCTTACGCCGATGGCGAGCGGCAATTCCTTGGTAACTTCAGAAGTGTCCCTTCCAAACCTTCGGTACAATGTCCGGAGCCCATCCCTTGTGTCCCTTGCCATGATACTGCTGGAATATTGCTAAAAGAGGCGTTCATTCATTAGACACCACCGAGATATTCAGACAATTGGCATTATACCAAAGCCAAACAACCCGCGTCCTGCTTCACTTTATGCAGGGGCGGTGAAGTAGCCCAGTGGCTAAAGCCTTCGCTCGTCACGCCGAAGAGCCGGGTTCGATTCCCCACATGGGTATAATGTGTGAAGACCATTTCTGGTGTCCCCCGCCGTGAAATTGCTGGAGTATTGCTAAAAGCGGCTTAAAACAATACTTACTCACACACTCTTCCAGGATTGCCCACATTGTATTTGAGCAAGACATCGCAACTCACCTTCACACATTCTTTAAATCTTGGGTTTCAATCATCACCTGACAACACTTTAAGCACCCGAAACTAAGTCCTCAGAGCACAGTTACAAGTTACGTCATCAACTTATTAATTCACATATAAAACAGGATTAATTTCTATCTTCTGTAATTAATAAATCAATTATTTCACAAAGAGGAACACTTTTTATGGATAGACACTTTCACATTTCACATTTATCCTCTTACACAAAGTATCCCAACTGAGGAGATAGATGCTCTTTCTGTTGATCACCGGTAAATCTCGATTGTTCACAGACCATCGGTATATAGCTGGAACATTTCTGAGTGCGGCGTTTACCAACCCACCAACCAAGGAACCTTTTGAAACCATGGGTACAATGTGTGAAGCCCGTTTCTGGCGTCCCCTCGCCGTGTGAAGCCCAAGTAGCTGGAACTTTGCTGTACAGCGTTAAAAACAAACAAACATACAAACAAACAAACAAACAAACAAACAAACAAACAAACAAACAAACAAACAAACAAACAAACAAACAAACACAAACTTACCGAATGGTAACTGGCCACGTTGGTCTGCAGCTCCAAACGTGTGTAGAAAGATTCTGTTTTCCACCTAGCGGGAGGGCAGCATTGGTAAGCATCAGATGTACCGAGAACTAGAGCCAAGAGACATATACTCTTAAGCTGCATCGTCGTTGGTTACCTCAAGGCAACGCGGACTAGCAAACATATGCTTTTAAACATGGTCACTGGCTGGGAGTTGTCTCAAAGCTTCTGTCGGTATTTCGAATATTTTTCGTATATAATTTGATAAAGACTGGTTTAGTTTTTAAGAGTAGGGTGAAATTGAAACTTCAAGTTCATGATTACAGTACACATGGGGCATTGCGCGTGTTTCTGTGTTTGTGTTTATCTTCGTATTTCCATGTGTGTGGGAGTGCATTTGCTTCTACTTTTTTTACGAAGAAAAGACTCAGTTTCAAGTTTCCATCAAATGTTTACTTCTAAATTGCCACGTGTCCACCCTGCTCAGGTGGATTGTCAATGAATTCTTAGAGGAACAGAATTTTTATAACCATCGAAATTTCCTCACGGCTTATACTGTTTTATTAATTATTGAGGAGGACGACACTAGATTCATTTATAATAGAGACAAAAGAACATTAACCATCAAGAGAAAAACGTTTTCTACTGAACCTGTCCTTACGTTGGAGGAGATTAAGGAATTGGGGGCCTTCATCATCGGTGCCGAAACAGACTTGGAAAAACAGCATTTCCAGAAGAACTTTAAACATTTATGCTAAAATGTAAGTATTACAACTTAACATGTAAATTTTGACAGCAAGTGCTAATTTTCCTGTTATGGTGCATCTAGCGCGGAGAATGAGAATGTATGTGGTAAACAATCATTTTGGCTGTATAGGGTTAATGCATGTTGCTGTGTATGTTATGATAACATATATATCACTTGGTACTTGATCATATTGTCTATCTATCATTTGAGGTTAACATTCTTTGCTCGTCTTGCAAGCATGTTCTTAATGAAACTAGGTATGAAGGTCATATACATATTAAATTACGTGACAAACCTGATGTTAGACAGGACTGAATTTTACAGAAAAAGATTACAATGTAAACATATATTCCTAACCCTCATATAATGTGTGTTATAAAGTTATCTCTCTGCATTAGAAAATTGAATGGCGGTAACAGTAAAAGGTTGGCAAAGTTCAAAGTGAGTTTTAGATCAAAGGGTCGCCGTCACTAGCTCTTACACGTGCGCCATGAAAATATACTGAAAAGCCATTAGAAACGCATCACCCATTCTGATGATATAAGTTTTCTTGACGTGAATGGTTCGAAACCAAACTGTTGTGTGAATCAACTAACCATGTCCCCTGAAAAGCATGCAAAGTGAGAGCAGCATGCATGCAGGTGCGGTCACGTGACACATGATGATCACATAACCACGAATTGTCATGTAGAGCATGGACAGATGACCCAACTGATCCGAAATTCAAGCAGGATTAAAGTTCGACAATTTTCATGTAAGAATCACATGATTTTTGGTCTTTAATTCCATTGCTGAATTTGTAATGATGCCTCGATTATCGGCTGTTCAGAGAGAGAGCGAGCAGTTGGTTTGCTTAATGCTGGATTATCCACCCGTGCAGTGGCCGCACAGTTCAACTGTCACATGTCGAAAATTGATAGACTCTCCCACTGACCTCAACACACGGGCAGCACACGTCACCGCCAACGTCCGGGACTACCACGCGTCACAACCCCGTATCAAGACCACTACATCGAGAGGCGTGTTCAGAACCGCGAGCGCCCCCCCCCCCCCGTGCACGTCGACCGCATATTGGTCCAATTCTGACATGTAGCCATCGTCAGGCACGTCTAACTTCGTGTAGACATCATTGCAGATGGACACACAGACGAATCCAGATTCCACCTCAGTCACGCTGATGGACGTTTGCGTGTGTGGCGTAGACGCAGTGAGCGTTGCGCCAATTGCTGTGTTTTGGAGGCTAATCGCTGGGGTGGAGGAAGTTTGATGATTTGGGGCGGGATCAGTGTGCTTGACAGGATCCCTTGCATGTCTTTCAAGGCCGTGTTACCGCCCAAACGTACACGCAGGACGTCTTAAGGACTATCGTTGTCCCTCACATGATGACCCATCGACGTCTGCACACTCTGCAACAAGATAACGCCAGACCCCATACCGCGAGGCATACCATGGACTTCTTGCGACAGAACAACATCAATGCCATGCAATGGCCATCGCTGTCTCCTGATTTGGCACCCATCGAGCATGTCTGGAATAAGATGGGGAGGAGACTTGCCAATATGGCACCACCTCTCAACTTGCAGCAGCTGGAAGCGTCTCTCCGCAGGATATGGCAACAGATCCCTGAGGATTTCTTCAGGAGGGTCACCTTTTCTCTCAGGAAGAGGTGTGTGGCTGTTATTGATGCTGATGGTGGACACACGCGATACTGACGTTGTCTTCCTTCTTGTTGTTTACCTGTGTGAACCTTTGATTTGACCCCGTGTCTGTTCAACCCACGTTGCCTTGGTCAATAAATGCAGTGCAACTTCATAACGCAATTCATTCTCTTCTTCAATGGTCACTTATCCCATCGATCTCTACAAAATTCTTGGATGTCAAAACGCACCTAACACATATGCTCATCCATCAGTGATGCGTTTCTAACGGCTTTCAGTATATGTAGTTACTTCATTCAAACTACTCCCTCAATCACTGTGTAGCTCATTTTAGTTCCATCTCCAACATGACGTGGATTACACTAACACTGTTCCTAGCAATAGCCTATCTAAAGTTTGGACTATCATCACCAATCACTCGCTGTGTCGTTACGGGTAAGGTGATGAGATGTCCCAAGGGTGGGGGCACCACCTACACTCACCTAAAGGGTGGAATATACCACGTCAATATGATACACCTTAAAGGACCCAGGGATCGGCTAGAGATAAATAGGACATTGTTTCCGGAGCTGAAAGTAAGTATTGAACACATTTTTTTTGTAGAATCATCTTGATACGATGTGCAACCATTCATTTCATCTACAACGTCAGTTGAGTTCACGATATTAAGTAGTTCATTATCATGTAGCAACTTTCTTTAAGTAATGAAAACAATACAGCATAAATTACGTATGAATTATCTAAAGTAAATTGCAATGTGGGAATCATAAGGTTGAATTATAGAATAATTTGTATTATATGGACACTACACTTTACTCCCGACAGAAGCTAGCTGATTAATGATCATTTGCACGTCCTCTAATCCAACAGACCTCTATTCCACGCTTTGTCACACATTTCCCTTTTACCCAACGGATGCTGAATTATTTCATCTCATTAGTTAAGAGAGATGATCAGAGATTGTAACGCACTACTTCATTATATTTTTATATATTGTTTTTAAATTTTATTTTGGAGCATGGATGAAGAGAGTATATCTTTTAAAAAATTGTGTAACTGTCTTTTATTATATACAGTTGTGACTTGATATGCACCCAAGGCTATACATAATTTACGAATTTCAGGAAATTCGAGGAAAAGGAGTCAACTGCACCGACATAAAAGGATCTGGTGCGCCCGGAGTGGTGCTGTTGGTAAATGCAACACCTTGTATGAGTAAGTATATATATCTATTTATGGATATGGTAAAATGTAGTATTACGTGTACAATTTACTCAACTGTAATCTGACTCCAGAGAGTTGATTTAGTTATTTAGTTAGTTCCCTGATGTAACTAATATGACATATATGTATTAAATTCACATTGGTATTGTTGGAATTCTACTGTTTTGCAGAAAATTGGTCATCTATTACAACACCTACTACAAGTACTATAACTGCAAATACAACTACTACTAGTACTACTACCAATACAACCCTCATACTACCCTCAACTCATACTACAGTGCCCGCAATGACTATTACGACTCCAACCAGTATGACATCAGTTACAAGTACTTTTTCCCCATCTTCTTTCTCATCTACAATAACTAAATCAAACTTTCCTTCCTCCCCTAGTCTTACTACTGCGACTGCTACTGCTACTGCTAGTGCTTGTGCTACGGCTACGGCTACTGCTACTGTTACAGCTATTGCTTGTGCTACTGCTACTACTACTTCTACAACTACTGCTACTACTAGTGCTACTGCTGCTACTACTACTACAGCAATTGCTACTGCAACCACATCCAACCCTCGTCCTACAACTACATCTTTTACTGTTGTTAGTGCTGCTGCTACTGCTGTTAATAGCACTACTGCCTTAAGTGTAACCACTGCTGTGGGTAGAGCAACTATTCTCAATACTAATTGTACCATTTCAACTTTTAATTCTACTACTTCCACTAGAGCTATTAGTGCTTCTTCATATTATCCTTCAGGTGATGATGATGATGATGATGATGATGATAGTCATGATGATGAAGATGCTTATCACGGTCTTATGACAGGTATGTCAATATCAATATTTAACTATTATCGAATGCTTATAGAAACAGTTGAAAGTAGCAGCATGTGAGTGTAATTGATACTCGGTATTGCTCTTATACTAATCTTTTTTTCTTTCCAGATGTAGGGTCTTGGCAAGTCATCTTGGTTTCACTGGCGGTGTCGATAGTGCTCATCATGATCGCGTTGGGTTTTGCTATTTGTTTCAGGAGGGCAATACTACGACGCTGTCATCGAATGTGCGATAGACATCGCCAGGATTAAACCTCGTCTCAGTTTTCCGCCACCCCCCCCGCCCCCCTCTCTTCAAATTCCTTCAAATCATGTAATGTCCATCATGAATCCCATGGCTTATAAACTTGCGACCTGAATACCCCCTCCTCTCAGTATCTCTGTCCCTTCACCTGGTACAACCCCGACCTCCCCTGTTCGTCTCGCATCACATCCCCCTCCCCACTCCTAGGAAACCACCAGTTCCTACCCCCAGGTCTGATGCACATGCTGCTGTAGATCCCCGCCTCTCTCCACCCTGCCATACCCTCGACACTTGCTAGTCATCCCCCGCCCCCTATCACTGACTCCTCACTCTCTTTCACCGATTCTTCGACACTGTCCTCGTTATCTCAACTCCGCATTCCATCCTTCCCATCGATGCTTGATGCAACCCTCCCCACAACCACTTGTACCTCCCCGACAGGGCCCACCACTTCCACTGTCACCATCACCTCGACATCTGCATCTCACCCTTAACCCGCTCCTGTCGACTGCTGGAAAAAACACGATCCATCTACATTAAGGCTTTTGCTAAACACTCCTCCTGATGATGATGATGTTGATGTACCCCCTACACTTATGACCTCCCTTGGACCTCGACTGCTACGAAAGTCTCATCGGGAAAGGAGGCCACCAAAAAGAAATGAATTCTCAAACCTTTCCCATAAAACTGATGATATTACAGAAACCTTGGCTACTGGATTTGTTTTATATGAAGCGTATGTAGTGTGAGATGGGCCGTACTGTTGTTCTCGACTGTGTGACAGAGGGACTGTGAAACTGGGAAACTAGTTCTTGTTACATTTCCGGTTGACCAACGAACACGCTAGTGGGGCGTATTTCCTGAGAGGTCACCCAAGGACAGTTACATAGATTGTTTGGGTTTTTTTTCTCTTGTGTTTTTTATCTCTTGTTTCTATGCTTTGAGATGTTTGCATATTGGTGACCAACACATGATTGGTCTCAATGTACAGAAAAGGTTTCTTAACATTAGACAATTAACATGATTATATTTGGGATATCTGATTACACCGGAATTTGTTGATTACATTACAGTGTCTGATTTCATTGGTGATTACACCGGAACACCGTCTGAATAAAATATTGCATTACATCATCGTCTGATTATGTCCAAATGACATCGATGTAACTTCGATCAGCAAGATGTCTTCTTTCCCTGAGGTGAAAGAACAAATCTGTATAAAACTAATGCATACCGTGAACAAAGGTTCACCTGAAGACATCATAATACTGTCAGTCAACAACAAATATCAGATCAACAGGCCAGTGTTACAGAGCAATCTTTCTTTTCCATAGTAAAGGATGAATGTAATTACACTTCAATAAGCTACACAACAAATATGATCCACGTCAATCACAAAATTTTACCTGCGTGTTTTTACAGATGTCGTTTTACTTAGGTTTAATATCATATATTGTTATATAAGAGACATTTGTGACATTAATTGCTATATAACACCCAAGCACATTATCCGTAAACGTTTGAAAAATTGTATAAATATTGTGTCATTACTCACCTAAGAAGACAAGGATTGTGTCAGGGCTTCCGGCAATTCTTTTCCGTCCGCTTTCTCATCCTCATCCTCATTAATTCCGTCTTCCATGCAGCAAAAAATTTCAATTTTGTTGAAGGTCCGATTATTCGTGTGATATCCTCTTTGATTAGAATGCCATTTCCATCAACTTTTTTCATAAGTTCATCAAACCGTAGAGTTGTCGCCGTTTGTTTGAAAACTTTGTTGGTACCTGTGGAATCTTCAGAAGCTGCACGTTTCGACATTCTTCTAGTGTAGTGGAATAAATTTGAGGCAAATGATGGCTGGGGAGCAAGTGTTTGACAAAAAATTAGAAAGTCATTAGGTACGTCGACGAAGTTATCGGGTGCACGAGGTGTTGGCGACGATGAATCCCCAAAATAGAAAGTCATTACTACATCGATGATGTTATTCGGTGCGTTATAGGATGTTTGATGGGAGTGGAGACAGCGCATTGGCGACAATGAACTAAAATTAGATGAATGTTGTTGACAAAGGTGTGTGAGGTATTCATTTCCAAAAGGTCAAAGGACATCAGAGACTCACATCTGGTGTAGATCAGGGTCAGGAAGTGCACTATGACGTCAGAGAGCCTATTACGGATGACGTTTTGAGGTAAGAGCCTCAAATGAGGCTCCGAATGATATTAATTTATACTACTCATCTGTCACATTTCTTGATCTGTTTATCACTGATTCTGAAACAGGCGGAAAGGTAGCCTAGTGGTTAAAGTGTTCGCTCCTCATGTCGAAGACCCGGATTCGATTCTCGACATAGCTACAATGTGTGAAATCTGTTTCTGTTGTGCCCCGTCGTGATATTTCTGGGCCATTGTTAAAAGCATTGTAAACAGTTACCCACTCACTGATTCTGTATCAAAGCTCGTGAAAATTGTGCTACGTTTTCATGTGTACGTTTGCGAATGTCCTGGTGACAATATAATCGCATGGAGCTTTTTTCTTCTGATATCTTTAATCACACGCATTTAAGCATGTAATTACTTTAGAATATGTTAATTCTAAAATGGTCATTTTCAAACGACAACATGGTCGTGGGACTGGTTTTGTGTTGAAAGTGCTCTCGTCACTCCCAAGACCCGGGTTCGATTCCCCACATGGGTACAATGTGTGAAGCCCAAAACTGTTGTCCCCCCATCGTGTTATTGCCGGATTATTGCTAAAAGGGGTGCAAAACCATATTCATGCGCTCAATTATTCTACAAAGCATCCACACGTTACTTTCATATTGTTTCTAAGCCCGTGAACACTGTGAGACCTTGTTTGCGAATATTCTGCTGATAATGTAAACGCATGCAGCTTGTCCTCCTAACAGGGCACATAAGACCACGTCTTTCAAGGTCTGTTTATTTCTATTACATTTTAGAATATGTGTTCGTATTTTCTGTGATATGTTTGCCAATATCTGATGGGACCACTCACAGTATATTTGTTGCCATCCTGTTGGTTCAATAAGTGGAGTTCCAATCCCCTCATGGGTACAATGCGTTAAGTCCATTTGTGGTGTCCTCCACTATGATATTTCTGGAATATTGCTAAGGAGGCGTAAAACCAAACCTATTCCCTCACTCACTGAGTTAATATAATATGTTAACTCACTCACCCACTCTTCTCGTTACTTTACTCACGTTTTCACTTGCATTTAACCATTTAATCACTTGTAGGTTCACTCTCAGCTGATGGTTTGTTCAGATCATACGTTCAAGCTTGTATACTCACTTACATGACAGCGCCGATTGCCCTGGTGGTCTTCTACAGAAAAACTGCAAATAATCCGCGACTATATTTCAATAATTTGCGAGCAATCCTCAGATTTCAGAGCATAAAAGTTAAAGCTTTTTTCTCATTACGCCGAGGACCCGGATTTGATGCCCTACATCGGTACAATGTGTGAAACCCATTTCTGGTATCCCTCTCATTGTTTTGGTGACATCACAAAAACTTGGAGAAATGTCCAATTTACAAAAATAAATATTCTCTCTGCTTATGCGAATCTTTTACATGAATATCTGATTAACTGCCAACGTCCACTCAAACATGTAGACGAATAATACAGTTCGTCCTCCAAATACTAAATTCAGTAGCTACACAGAAACTACACATAACTCGGCGTAGTTCCCACGTAGCTGCACATAAACTACAAATAACTCGGCGTAGTTCCCACGTAGCTACACAGAAACTACACATAACTCGGAGTAGTTCCCACGTAGCTACACAGAAACTACACATAACTCGGCGTAGTTCCCACGTAGCTACACAGAAACTACACATAACTCGGAGTAGTTCCCACGTAGCTACACAGAGAGTACACATCATTCTGCGTAGTTCCTACGTAGCTACACAGAAACTACACATAACTCGGCGTAGTTCCCACGTAGCTACACAGAAACTAGACATAACTCGGCGCGTTCACTAAGTAGCTACACAGAAACTACACATAACTCGGCGTAGTTCTAAAGTAGCTACACAAAAACTACACACAACTCGGCATAGTTCCCACGTACCTGCACATAAACTAAACATAACTCGGCACAGTCAATACGCAGCTACACAGAAACTACATAGAACTCGGCGTAGTTCCCACGTAGCTACACATGAACTACACATAACTCGGCGTAGTTCCCACGTAGCTGCACATGAACCGCACATAACTCGGCGCATACAGTAAGTTGCTACACAGAAACTACACATACCTCGGCGTAGTTCCCACGTAGCTACACGGAAACTACACATAACTCTGCGCATTCCCTAAGTAGCTACACAGAAGCTACACATAAATCGGCGTAGTGTCCACGTAGCTGCACATAAACTACACATAACTCGGCGTAGTCACTACGTAGATACACAGAAACTACCCATAACTCGGCGTAGTCACCACGTAGCTACGCAAAGATTTGTATCAATCGGCCTGGTCAGTTCGTAGCAACGGAAACATTAAACACAAATCGTATTGCATGTTGAATAAACGCAGAGCGATTCCTCGTAATGTTTGCACTGCACATTTGCACACACTAACTTTTAATAAAATTGTAAGTACACATGATAACAACGCGTGCAATATCATTTAAACCAATCATGCTTCGCACATTTATTGTATGAGAAATATGAAATATTTAATACACAAACAAATGCAGTGATAAACATGAAGTTCTTAATTCATTTACAAATGTCACTAGGTTCAACGTATACATTATAATATATATTATATTACATACATATATCATTGATCTACAAATGTCACGATGCTCAATGTATACATTATAATATACATTATATTACATACATATAACATTTAATAACGTCTGGATAGATGTAATAATTGTTCACGTGTGGGCAATACAGCTATGCAGATGTTACTACCATCCAAGGAAAAAAGAACATATCTATCAGCATCTAATGTTCTTTCGTACTAATCGATAAAAATGCACCATGGACAATCAAACACTCTTTTGACGAACTTTGATATGTTGAAGTTGCGGTTGTCTGCGTAATTGCGTTGTACTTTCTCTTTCATTTTCGTTGAACCTGCTATGTGCTTGTGTCATAGACATGGTTCTCTCAAAGTTTCAAGATCCCAAACATACTGTCAGTTTGTATCATCGACCGTCATTGTTAATTCAACTAACAGTTAATTTTCCATCCATCCATCCCCACACATACACAGATCCATACATACATATATACAGACAAACAGACATATATAACATACACACATATATTGGATATAAAATTGCAGAAAACGAAAAACGCCCTGTCATTTGGTACCTCTTGGATGATGGTATGCTCTTAGACAAAATCGTAAAAAATATGTTCAGTTTAGTATTAGATGATGTCCCGTGATAATTAACATTCAGTCATTTGGATTGCATCATTTATATTGAGACAGTTATGTCGATGTGATTTCGTCATCTGAAATGGGGGTGGGTAGTGTCTCCAAAACACTCTAACTTTAACAAGCGATTGTAGTTTCAAAGTGCTTTTGGATGTTAAAGTGCATAGGAGTCTGATTGTAGCAGACCTCTGCATATCCCAAACACTCAAAATGTATTTTCTTGCAAATTTTCGATCCTGAAGTTTGTGATGATTGCTAGTTTTGCGGGGTTTCTTTCTTTGTTTGCTTTTTGTTTTTGTTGGGGAGGGGGGGGGTGTTTACCAAGATAAAAGTCAAACAAAGTGGGAATCGTGAGGCTGGCACAAAACTAATTTGCTTGAGCTTGACAGGTAATATGTCGAATGATAAAACGTGAGATCAGCTGCATTTGTATCAATTTCTAGGTGAGGCTGACTACTTTGGAACGTATTAACACGTGTTCGAAAAGGCGTCACCAATCATTACCCATGTGACATACACGTGACATCGGGAATACACTCCAAATACCAGAAATTACGAGAATGTGTTTGAAATAAAGAGAACATATTCGAAATCACGAACGTATATTAGAAATAACGACAGAAACCTCGAAATTTCGGAAAGCAAGACACAAACAATAACTTTAAATGAAGAGAAAATCATGGTAAACTAATTTATGCTTTAAAAGTAATAATGGGATACCTTTTCGCCCGTATCGTATATTTGCAACAGTGAACTCGTTATGCTGCCACATTTCCGCTCGTGCATTCCGTGTTTAATATATTGGCTACCACAATTCTCAGACTGGTACATTCTTTAACAGGTAATCCAACACTTGGTCCGGCAGGAACGGTTTCAGAAATATGTACACCTGAAAAAAAGATTACCTGGCAATTGAATACGTATTACAGATAAATGGAAGGAGGTAAGACTGGATAAAAGATCGATAATCGGAATTATCATACTTCTATGAGTGACATTTAAATTGGGTGACGAGTGAATAGTGACATAGCGACAATGTCACAAATGGCCGAAATGTCGCGTTGTCGCATTGTCGCGCTTTGGTTAATTTTGCCTCTTTTTGCTTGTTTTTGAGAGGGCGACAACGCGACAGTGTCCCTTCTAGGATTCAATAATAAATAGCTAAACTATATATATCCACCCAGAGCGGTAACGCATCCAGAACTCTCTGAAACAAATCCCTTGGTGTTCCAACAGGAATACAACCAGTTACGTTCTAAGTATAACACTCACAGATCCATCTTCACAGACGGATCCAAGGACAATGGCCAAGTTGCCAGCGCCACAGTCATTGGGGCCAAGACTGTCTACTCTAGGATCCCCGACAACAGTTCCATTTTCACCGCTGAAGCCAAAGCTATCTTCTCAGCTTTGACCTACTTTCAACAGCAAAAACATTCCAAAAACTTCTTCGTATTTACAGATTCATTATCCTGCCTTCAAGCACTTCTAAACGTGACTTCAAGTCACCCAATCATCCTGGACATATTAGAACTGTACAACGACCTTTCTACTGGCCAATATGACATCATCCTCTGCTGGTTGCCGGGTCACGTCGGCATAGCAGGTAACACTAAGGCCGATGTTGCAGCAAAAGCAGCTCTCGAAAAGCCCCTATCTCCACTGCTTATCCCGTACAGTGACTTCAAACCCACTATCAAAAGCTATACTCGGGACCTGATGCAAAAAAGGTAGGACACTCAAGTAGGAAGAAACAAACTCCATGAATTGAAGCCAACAATCGGTTATACCTACTTGGGTTGTCAGTCAAGACGCGATGAGGTAATTTTATGATGATGTCGTATTGGCCACAGTCGATTTAAACATGACTATCTGCTGAAAACGGATGGGGATGGGCCCCCCATGTGTGTCTCTTGCAATGAGGTGTTCACCGTCAAGCATATTCTGCTTGAATGCATGGACTTATCGCCTGCAAGGGACTCACATTATGATGCAAGAAACCTAAAAGATCTGTTCTCACGCGTGAGCGCCCATCTGATACTGAACTACCTGAGGGAAGTTGATCTGTATCATAAATTGTAACTGTGAAATGTAATAACCATAAATTGTAACAATGAAATGTGACAAACCGCCTGCCTTTAAATTTGATGCTATGACTTTTTCTGCTTTTGAATGACAATGTAATCAATAAATGTCTTTGAAATAAAACTCATTCCGAGTATGTACTTACAATATTTTCTTATGCAAACTTGTTCTCGTCACTATATGGCTGGAAAAATGCCGATGTGACGTAAAGCTCAACTCAACTTAACTGTTATTTAGAGTTGATTGTAAATATCACGATTTATTGACAAAAGTATCAAAACCCAAACTGAGGAACATGGACAATATCGCTGACGACAAGAAGGCAATATTCAATTTATTGCATTCACAATTATATTCGCCATTTTTGAATCCATTTAACTAAGATATTCATAGGCCATATGAATTCATCGATTATAGTGTGTCATAGCCATTTGACCTCATCGATTAAAACGAGGAATAGCAATATGATGCTATAGATTATGGTGTGTCACAGCCATTTGACGTCATCGATTATAGTATAGCATAGACATATGACGTCATCGATTATAGCGTGTCAAAGCCATATGCCGTCTTCGATTATAATGGCACACGTGAGTGAACTACACATATGGGGAACATGTTGGGTAGCGTTTGAAAAAGTTCATGAGGAAAGTACGAGGGTAGTCATAATGGTTTCATATGGCGAACATTTAGCTTCGATGGCGAAGAACACGGGAATATCTGAAAACGTTTTTTGTTTCCCAAATCTGGTCATGTGTATGAACAGAGGTGAGAAATATATACCCCTTGGAACTATCAAAAACTAGTGAGTGAGTGAGTGAGTTAAGATTTAAAGTCACATCGGCAATATTTCAGCCATATCGTGACTAAAGCAAGTTATAAATATATCAACAATTTAAGTGAAATTATAAAATTCTGCCAACGAAGGACAGTAAAATAACTAGATAATCACATATATATATGTAAAACTAGTAATTGAATCTAAAACATTTTAACTATAGGGGACAACACAATATAAAAATGGGCTATAGATCGCCACCAACTGAAGGTAGATCACCATGCTAGGAGCCATGGGGACTTACATTACTTTTGCTACCTGCATGGATCCTAGCTGGATTTACACCATCCCTTCAGCCATTGGCGATTGTAGGAAAATTTAGCCAACAGTTAAAATAACAAAAATACTACGTTTAAAATGTGATAATTTATATTTTACTTTGAAAGTTTTGGGACTTACGTACCCTCTCAGGAAGACAATAATTTTACGCTACGTCAACCCCCTTTGAGGGTACAGCCACTAACAATCTCAGTGACTAATTTAAATTACCAATAATAAAATATTTATCTATTTACAAATCAGTTAATAAATCTAATTCTTTTAATAATTCAACTATTAAATGATAATTAGCATTATTAAAAAGATCCTTCAATGTTTTGACATTAAAATACTTATCCCTTGTGATGGAATATTCAACACAGTTAAGCAGGACATGCTTGACTGTGATTCTTTCATCACAAGGGATACAAAACGGAGGATCCTCACCTTTTAATAGGTACTCATGAGTATATCTAGTGTGGCCAATACGACATCGTCGTATGATGACCTCTTCAAATCTGGACTGACAACCCAAGTAGGTGTAACCGATAGTTTGTTTGATTGCATGTAATTTATTGATACCTACTTGGGTGTCCCACTTCTTTTGCATCAGATCGCGGATGTAGGTTCTAATGATAGCTTTGTAATCAGAGTATGGGATAAGAAGTGGTGTCACAGATTTGTTGAGTGCAGCCTTAGCAGCAAGATCAGCCATCGTGTTCCCATAATTGCCAACGTGGCTGGGTAACCAACAAAAGACGATGTCGTATTGGCCAGTAGCAAGCTCATTATACAATTCAATAATTTCTATTAAAAGTGGATGTTTACAAGAAATATTTTTAATCGCCTGAAGGCAAGACAGAGAGTCAGAAAAGATTATGTATTGTTTATATTTAGGGTGTCTATTTATATATTTGAGAGCTGTTAGGATTGCGTTTGCTTCAGCTGTGAAAATTGAACTGTCAGTGGGTAATCTGGAAGATATTGTTTTGGACCCAATGACAGTGGCACAAGCAACCGCGCCACCATCCTTGGACCCATCTGTAAATAAGGATTTATATGTATTATATTTACTTTTTAATTGATTATATTCTTGTTTATATTGTAAGTCATTAGTTTCTGATTTTTAAAATTTAGTGAGTGTTAGGTCGACTTGCGGCCTAACTAATTGCCAAGGAGGAGAAGAAAGAAGACGGGAAGGAGATATATTCTCCAACTCAATGCCAGCAGCAGAAATATATTGTTGGATTCTTATCCCAAGAGGTGGAACAAGTGAAGGTTTTTTTATTATACAAATCCTCATAAAGAGGATTAAAAACGCAAGTGTGAGCAGGATTGGATTCATTAGAATATAACTTTGTGATATATTGTAGGGACAATTTGATACGGCGAAGTTTTAAAGATGGCTCATCGGCCTCAACGTAGAGACTGTCAATGGGAGAGGTTCTGAAAGACCCAAGACAAAGTCTTAGACCCTGGTGATGGATAGAATCAAGTAGTTTGAGGTTGCTTTTACAGGCTCCACCATATACGATAGAGCCGTAATCAAGCTTCGAGCGGACAAGTGATCTGTAAAGGTGTAGGAGCGTAGCTTGATCCCCTCCCCACCTTGAATTAGACACGACTTTCAATAAATCGAGTGCCTTCAGGCATTTAGTTTTTAGGGATTTAATATGCGGAAGAAAGGTTAAATGGGAGTCAAAAATCAGACCCAAAAATTTGGCCTCTTTTACAACCTTGATGGGTGTGCCATTTAAAAACAGTTCTGGGTCTTTATGAGGCTTATATTTTCTACAGAAGTGTAAACAATTAGTTTTGGATTTAGAAAATTTAAAGCCGTTTTCAAGACACCATTTATTTATTTTATTTAAACACAACTGTAGTTGCCGTTCAATAGTATGCATATTCTTACCGCGGCAAGAAATGTTAAAATCATCCACAAAAAAGTGATCCATCAATGGAATCGTTTAAAACTTTGGATAAGCTGTTGATCTTAATGCTAAATAAAGTGACAGACAAAATACTGCCTTGCGGGACACCCTGATCCTGATTGTAATGGTCAGACAGGGTTGAACCCACTCGGACTTGAAATTGCCTGTCTTTTAAAAACTGTGATATAAAAAGAGGTAAACGACCCCTTAAACCAAAATCATGTAAATCCTTTAAAATGCCATGCTTCCAGGTGGTATCATACGCTTTCTCGAGATCAAAGAATAGCGATACTGCATGTTGTTTATTGACTATTGCATTTTGACAAAGGATTCTAAACGTACCAAATGATCAATGGTACTACGATTTTTCCTGAAACCACATTGAATATTTGTTATGAGATTATTGGTTTCAAGATACCATGTTAATCGATTATTTATTATTCGTTCCATGGTTTTACAGACACAACTCGTTAAAGAGATTGGTCTGTAATTAGACGGATCAGTATGATCCCGGCCAGGCTTTTGGTATAGGGACTACAATGGCATTACGCCACGAAGGTGGGAAATTCCCTGAAGTCCATATTTCATCAAAAATTCTAAAAGGATTTCTAAACATGATTCCGGCAAATGTTTCAAGAGCTGATAGTGAACATTATCAGCTCCTGTTGCTGTATCGTGAGCTTGCTCAAGGGCGGTATGGAGCTCATGTAACGAAAATAGTTCGTTATAATCTTCACCGTTGTCCGAGTTAAAATTTATTCTTTTCTTCTCCTGTTGTTTCTGATACGTTTGAAACTCAGGGACATAATTAGATGAAGATGAATGCTTGGCAAGAGTTTCACCAAGTTTATTTGCAATGTCAGATTTCTTAGTCAATAAATTATCACCGTCCTTCAAATGATGAACAGTAGATTTGGAACCTTTGCCCTTTATTCTTTGGATAATGTTCCACACTTTTGACATAGGTGTACGTGAATTTATTTTAGAAACATAATTTCGCCAAGACTGACGCTTATTTTGTTTAAAAGAACGTCTAGCCTTAGCATTAGTAATTTTGACCTTGTCTAGATTATGGACAGTAGGGTGTTTGCGAAAATATTTTTCGGCCTTTTCCTACATTTTCTGGCCTGTTTGCATTCATTATTAAACCATGGTTTACGAATATGCGGAACTGCAGAGGACTTAGGAATTGTTTTGTCAGCAATGTGATTAAGTATATCCGAAAAAGACTGTATAGGATCTTTACTCTTCCTAAAAAGATCATGCTGCAAGTGTTCAACACACAGTTTCTCATATAATGACCAATCCGCCCTGGCGAAATTTCTCCTTGATAAAGGTGGATCATCACCAGGGCTGATTGTTTTGAGAATGGTGGGGAAGTGATCACTCCCACATAGGTCATCATGGACCATCCATTCAAATTCATTATATACGTTGGAATCAATGAGTGACAGATCCAGGGAAGAATATGTTCCCGTAGCTGGATGTAAATAAGTGGCTGAATCATCATTAAATATACATAAATTATTATCGGAAATGAATTCCTCAAGGATTTTACCTTTAGTATTGATCTGAACACTTCCCCAAAGCGGGTTGTGTCCGTTGAGATCACCCATAATGAGGCATGGCTTTGGAAGTTGATCGTATAAATTTTGGAGCTCTGCCTGTTGAATATTAGTAGAAGGAGGTATGTACAAGCTGCACAGAGTTATTGCAATGTGTAGGGTCAAACGAACAGCCACAGTCTGAAGATTAGTATTAAGAACGACAGGACTATGTATTATATCCTGTCGTACTAAAAAATGGAAGCACCCCTGTTGCTCTACCTCCAAGGGGAGAATAAGAGTGGTAATCACTGTACCGTCTCAAATTAAAAGAATCTGTATCTTTTAGGTATGTCTCTTGCAGACATAACGCTGACGGTGTAAAATCTTGTATCAATAAGTGAACCTCATTAAAGTTATTCTGCAATCCTCTGCAATTCCATTGCATTAATGTCGACAATTGAGTCATGGTGGCTCAATTGGCGATCGTTCACGTGAATGTGAGGAGGATAAGCTCCTCTGCCTGTCTTGTGAGGACAGAGTGACCTCCATGTCAAGAGGTCTAAATGAATTTTGGAGAGGAAACTCCGAAGATGAAGTGAGAGTAGGTTGGGTTATTTTCCTTTCCTTTTTTTCCTTTCTTCTTTTTGTACTGATCTGTTGCTGGTTGGGAGATAACTGAATTTGATGTAGAAGCTTGTGATGACACAGGCTGAATTTTTAGTCTGAGATCCTGATGTAGATTGTCTGACTGGGGAAGTAGGGTTTGAGGTTGAAGATACAGGTTTTTCCGAGTTGACCCATGTCAAGTCAGTCTGGCATGCAATGGAGGACACTGCAACAGAGCGGGTGACTGCGGCAGAATAAGAAATGTTTAATGGCGGTGAAGACTGAGTTGTGAAAAGTTTCCTGGCTTCAAGATAAGAAAGATTTTTTTCACATTTAATTTTCATTATTTTGGATTCCCTTAGAAACACAGGGCAGGACCTGGAAGAAGCTGGATGTGGGCCGTCACAATTGGCGCATTTGTATTCATTTGTGCAATCTATGTTTTCATGATGTTCACTACAACGATAACACACTACTGTGTTTCGGCATGAGTGAGACCCATGTCCAAAGTGTTGACATTTATAACACCGGAGTGGATTGGGGACATACACATCCACCCCGATGTTAACATAACCTGCTTTGATTGACTGTGGAATGGTTGATCTAGCAAAGGTCAGGAGATACGTGTTAGTATTTGTGATTTTGCCATCTTTTTTGACCGTGAAACGTTTAACCTCTGTAACAGCCTGGTCTTCAAGCTCTTCAGCTATGTCCTCCTCTGACATGTCAGAGAGAGACAACGAGCCCTGTCTCGTATAATACCACGGCAGGAATTGAGAGTCCTGTGCACGGACACAGCAACCTCAACATTAGCAAATGTTCTGATAGACAAAAGATTAAGAGATTGCTGTTTCTGTGCGCACTCCACCAGAAGTGAACCACTACGGAGCCGGGTAACATTTCTAACTTCCCCACAAATCCCATGGATAGCTTTAGAAATAGCAAATGGATTCAGTTTAATAGGTAGGTAGTCAGAAGCTTCGATCACTAAGAATCGAGCCCAAGAATCAACGTGTAAAGAATTGGTTTCATTTGGACGATCTATTTCGTCCAGACGTCTCTTTTTTTCATTCCGCGACGAACCAGCTTGTTGGGGTAACATGATGAAAGGAAATTTATTCGACACCCCTGCTCCCCACCCACCATGGAGTGTCGACAAGGACGATGTCAAAGAGCACCGGATATCCAAGATGCTGACACCAGGGATACAGGGATGTTATACTCCAGCGAGTATGACGCAAATAGCAATATTTGTATACCAAATTAGATGCCAGGGTGGTTCTGCCCATGACAAGAAATAGGATACATACTGAATTTGGAGGTCAACGTCACCAGATTGGCCCATGAGCCACCGCCTTCTGGCATAGGACTCTAGGCAATTAAATTGATCAATAATTTATAAGTACAATTCAAAATGGCCAAAACCCACAAAGAGTTAAATGTGCAAAAATACATTCACTATGCGCAGGGCATGGCGTTACCAGCCAATTGATAGAATCGGGCCGATTCTACCACCCGTCTAGGTGAAGTAAGGGCCAAAGTGGTGTGTTGGGCAATAGGAACACGGTTCCAGGATCCTACTGCCCTCAACCACCAGGCTACCGTCCTCCACCGACACAGGGGCGCAACCCACGGCAAACGGGTTGGTGGACCATATATCCCCCCGGGTCCACAACGGGGGTGAAGGGCGCTTGGCGTGACCCAGCACCCACCACGAGGAGGTGGCCCTTCATGGGTGCCTATCAAAAACTAAAATGCTACCATTTTGGATTCGTTGTTATTTGAACCCCACACTCACCCTTATTCCAGGTCTATGGCGGCGGTCTGTAAATAATCGACCAGACAACCCAGTGATCAACATTAAGAGCATTGATCTACGTAATCGGGAAACGATGACATGTGTCAGCCAAGTTGGCAAGACTGGCCACCTGGCCGCGATTTCTCGAAACAAATTTAAGTTTCTACTCAAATTTCAAACTGACAATTTTGACATATTGAAACAGCTGAATTTTTAACTCAACTGCATTTTCAAAATAGGTAAAGTCAAAACAGCTGATGTAATCTATCCAACAAACTCAAATTGTCTACTCTGTTTGAGTTCAATATCGATTTCAGTTTATTCTGGGAAATGCATTTTTTTTTGCGTTTCCCACATTTGAGTAAAAACTCTTACTGAAATCAAAACTCAGTCTTAAGTTTGTTTCGAGAAATTGGGACGAGATCCCCATATTCACTGTATCTTGCGACAAACATTGGCTGCTGAAGAGCAATTCTAAGCCGTATTTTCAGGGGTACCTACCACACGAAAGTCCACAAGTGAATTCGTTCCCCCGATGAGATATCTCGGGCTGACCTTGACTTCTACCAACTGACGTTCCATGATGTCAAGGACGGCGTCGCATGATGACGGTGATTTCTTTGCAGCGGTGTACAGGTCATTGACAACCTGTTCTGCCAGTTGTTGTGGGTACACCCTCCTGACGTCATCACTGACCGAGTTGAAACCGTCAAACAGTCTCCTTCTGAACATTTCAATCTGCGTGCAATAACAGAAAATTATCAAGCGTCTCGTAAAAGAACGGGAATGAGACAGTCCGAATGTGTCTTGCAACTGTGCAACCTCGGAAAGGGTAACACGGAGTACTCCGAGCGACAGCTATCGGAACCTTCGCCCATTACTATGATTAGTACAACACGACTCGGTTACGAATGTAAGCAGCCTAACGATTGACTCATTCTAATTCGCCTCTGTCACTCGATTCAAGGAATTTACATTTGTCACGATAAAGACATTTCTTTGTCATTTGAAGTATTGTCATACAACGTCAGACGTTCAAGCCTGGCTAAACTGGTTTGGGGGGGGATAATTATTAACAGGATTTCAAACAATTTTTTTTTGTTATACCTGTGGTAGATTTGTTTCCAATTTAAACACTTCCTCAAATCGAGAAATATAATTGAAATAGATAAAAAAAATAATAATCGAATTTTAAAGTTTTAAAATATACACGAAATGTAACAAAAATAATCGAAAAAAGTCGAAATGTCTTAAAGCAACAAATAATTGAAATAAAGATGTGTTAATTAAACAAATGATTTATGTTTTAAAAGTAATAAAGGGGTTAAGTGTTGCTTGATATTCTTTAGAACAGTGAAAAAGGAACCGTTCGTCTAAGCGAACAAACCGCGTCATCGGTAAAATGACATAAAATCAAAGTAGTCAGGTGCCTGTCACATGATTCATGTGTACTACACCTGTGTGCGAAATAGCCACTGGCCCTCAAGCCCGTGGCTAGGAAAAATGCACAGTCACTGGCCCGAGTTCAAAATTGTAAATATACCACTCTCTCCGACTTGTTATGTTATAATACACTTTCAAATTATGCAAGATTATGGTCTGATAAATGATGGTATTTTACCTCTTTGTAATCTTTGGCTTAGTTCTGCTTCTTGACTCCCTGAACCCGATTCCAACCCCCAACCCCCCCACCCCTGTCTCTGCGAATGCAAAACATTAACTTCAATGTGATCTTTAGTCATTTTCAAGGAGTGGTCATATTATTAGTACATCTGTGTGACATTTGCCGACACGTTTCGCCTGGGATGCTCATGGATCACTTACATTGTGTTCGCGAAGAATGGCTGTTGTTCCCCGGAAATTTCTGTGGCGGTTGGCTAGCCCACTGGTTAAAGCGTTCGCTTGTGACACCGAAGACTCAGGTTCTATTTCCCACATGGGTACAATGAGTGAAGCCCGTATCTGGTGTTCCCCGCCGTGTTATTGCTGGAGTATTGCTAAAACCAAACTCGCTTATTCACTCACTGCATTCTAGTTTGAAATGTAAAACTTTTCAAAAAAACTAGAACTGAAATAATAAATTCTGCTTCACCCATTTTTAATGTCTGGTTTTGTATGTCTTTATCGCAAGATATGATGCAGGGAGATATTATGGTTGTGCTCTTCCAAAAGTAAACATTCGACTAAAATTATGAATGTATTAGCAGACATATTGGAGAATGTTTTGCTTCAGTGATTTTTTTGCGGTTTGGTTACTGCTGGCTAGATTGGCTATAAGTTTGCGAGGCGTAGATTTTCAGATTTCATACCCTGTACCCTCAGTTTTTACCTCAATGGTAGGTTTCCTACAAATTCACACATTGAAATAAGAAGGCACAAGAAATGGGCAGCATTCAAAGAAAACTTGTGAATGTTTCAACACAAATTGTTTGTTTTGGACACCAACAACCTAGGGTGAAGGTCATTTTCCAAAGTTGGTGTCACTTTCACAGTAGCTTCACCCAACCTTCTATTCCCTCATGTATATTAATATACTAATTTCATTCAATCCAGTGTTTAATGGTTCCAATTGGAATAAGAGATTTTAGTTCCGTTTTTGTGGTGTTAAATAAGTAAGTTGATATAAGTAGTTTACTGAAAGGTGCAGATTGTCTTGACAAAGTTTACAATTGCAATGTTTTTAAATGTGCGCATTCATAATCTGATTTCATTTATGTTGTGTACAAATTCTATGTGGCTAATAAGTACTAGTAGTTGAATGGGACGTTAAGCATTATTTAACTCATTTGTATACAAATTCTATTTATGAATGAATTTGAGAAAACTAGAATTCAATTTGTTGCCACAAAGTATGGTTGAAATACTTTGACGGGAAAACACCTCTCAGTGTTGGACATTCACCTCGCAAAGTAGCTATAATACGAATTTCAAGGTGCTACCCACATGGTATACTTTTGCGGAAAACTGAACCCCAATATATTTTTAAAAACATACAACGTTTTCAACCCACAAGGCCTGTTTTGTGCGTACGTCCGTCCGTCTGTCCGTCCGAACGAAATGTATTCTATCCACTTCTCCACGATAACCGCTCTGTGGAATTCAATGAACTTATACATGGGCTTTCTTGGGACTCTAATGGTGTGCATCTCATTATTTGTTTTTTATATTATATAGTTTTTTTGTAAGTTAGAGACATTTGAACTTAGGTCCATTTTTCTGAATTTCTCTATGATGATAGTGTAATAGGGGATGAAGTATATCCACTTCTCCACAAAAACTGCTCAGCAGAATTGATTAAACTTCTACATGTCTTTTGTAGGGACTCTAAAGGTGTGCATTTCATATTTGTTTATGCAATTTCTTAATTTTGTCACTTTTACAGATGTTTGAACTTAGTTGAAGTTTGTTCTATTCAGCATGTTCGTTCCATCCAACAGGGTGTGTGCGTTATCCACTTCTCCTCAAAAACTACTTTATGGAATTCATTTAGATTACACATGTGCTTTATAGGGACTCTAAAGGTGTGCATCTCATATTTTGATTTTGTATTTTACTTATTTTTCCAATTTTAATGCCGTTTGAACTTAGATAAATTTTGTTGAATTTCTCTCTGAATATAGTGTAGTAGGGGATGAAGTCTATCCACTTCTCCACAAAAGCTGCTCAACAGAAATGATTGAGCTTCTACGTGTGTTTCATTGGAACTCGAAAGGTGTGCATCTCATACCTTGTTCATCCAATTTCTTAATTTTGTCACTTCTACAGATGTTTGAACTTAGTTGAATTTGGTTCTATTCATCCTGTTCGTCCCATACAACAGGGGGTGTACTTTATCCACTTCTCCTCAAAAACCACTGCACAAAACTCATTTAGCTTACATATGTCTTTTATAGACACTCTAAAGGTGTGCATCTCATATTTTGTTTTGTATTTTATATTTGAGACATTTGAACTTAGATTAATTTTGTTGAATTTCTCTCTGATGATAGTGACATAGGGGATTAGGTCTATCCACCTCTCCACAAAAAATGCTCAACAGAATTGATTAAGCTTATACGTGTTTCATTGGGACTCGAAAGGTGTGCATCTAATAGTTTATTGAACTTGTTCGTGAAGTTGTTCAATTATTGATCTTTATATGATAATAGGTTGTGGTATCTGACCCCTCAACACATTGATTTTAGTGTTTTGAAGTACTTCAGGGGACCCTGAATGTGTGAACTCTTCCTACAGCAGCGGGGGCATCCGTGTCCCTGGACACAGTTTTTTCTTGTTTAATATATGGTTTTCGCCATCCAGAGATGGTTTTCATCTGACGCAAGTCATTTACGAGATAAATTGAATTTATGTTATTTAAAATCGAAGGGTCACAGAGTAAGCGTTTTGAATGAAATAAAAATGAAATGGATGTTTTAAAATTATGCTACTTACTTCCATTCAAACCACTTTATTCAATCCATACATTCTTTTGGATTAATAACAAGAGAGCCTTTCTGGTGTATGCGTCGTCATTGAAATGAAAAATGATACTAGCACATGGTCAGATGCTGTCGATATACTAGCAAATGATCGTATGCTGTTGATATACTAGCACATGATCGTATGCTGTTGATATACTAGCACATGATCGTATGCTGTTGATATACTATATGCTGTTGGGATACTAGCACATGGTCATATGCTGTTGCTATACTAGCACATGATCGTATGCCGTTGATATACTAGAACATGATGGTAGGCTGTTAGGATACTAGCACATGATCGTCTGCTGTTGATATACTGGTCCAGAAATGTTCAAGCATCATCTTGATAAATTCTTCTGTGGGTTTACAGATCTTCACAATTCTTATTTTCTTTTTCCCTTGAATATCAACACTTTTCCACTCTTCATGTTCTATTTCAATATCATCCTGAACAGAAGAAAGCAATACTTTCATTTGTTCCTCAGAAACATGTCTGCCTACAGCTTCAGGGTTTGGAGATATGCCTATCCCTAGGGTACTTGTTAAACATTTGAGCTTTAGTGCCATATTTTGATGTTTAGTACAAAGGCATCTGTTTCTTGATACAAGGGATGTCACCTCGATGTGTTTTGGGCGCATTTTGCAAAATGCAGAAAATGAAATACTTGTTTCTGGGTTTTCTGCTCGGAATCTTTCATGAATGATACTCAGATAGTCGTTCAGGATTCTGGTTTGTTTTCTTTCGCCATTACATTTCTTGAAATCTCTTTTCCCAGGCATAGCTCTGCTGATTTCGTCTTTCGCTAAGAATTCTGTCACTTTTGTTTCAAGATTCAATTTCAGTTTTGAGAGTCGTTTTCTCTTTGTAACAACATTAAGTGTTTTTCTGTTTCCTGGTGCACTGAATTCATGTCTTGTTATACCAGTCACTTTTGTGAGATATCTAATGCATCTGTACTTCTTCACAATGCGACCACTCACCACAGTGTTTATTGACGATCGATGTCTCTGATTAGTGTTTTCATCATGAGCATTCTTTATTTCGAAAATGAGGGCATTACCAATCTTCAGTTTTCGCACAACAGACCTAGGCACAGATCTTGGACTTATTCCAGACTTCCTGATATCATTTATAGCTTTAGATTTCGGAGTGAGTTCTAGTGTGCTTCTGGAAGCAGCCTCAATTTCCTTGTCTTTTTCAATCGTTCAAATCGTTTTTGAAAGCGCCATGATTTTTGTTGATTCTTTTTCAACAGTGATGTCAATCTC